TTCATGCATATTCTTCATTATTTAATTTCTTTAAATATAATGCACAGTGATAATATTTGGTGGCAACAAACTGAAAAGTGACACAGCCATTTATAGTGATTCGCCTCAAAATGCCCTTTGATTTAATTTGATTCCTTTGATTTCATTGATCATTTCATTTGATTCCTTTGATTTCATTCATGAATTTCAAGATTAATAGCCCTTTTGGGCTAAGAAAAAAGAAAACTATCCTTTATATTGAAGACGCTTTTTAGTGAATAAATGTACAGAACTACTGAACACCAGAGTTCGAATTCCAATGATTGGCTCATGTAGCCAGTCCGTAAAACCTCCTTCACGAAAGTATCCTTTCCATCAGACAGTAGCCTTCTTTTAATTTGTCATAATCGATTAAGCAAACAAATATCGTATTAAAGATATAAGAAGCAAAAGGGTGAAGTTTTAAAATTATTTTTGTGTCCCAACGTTATCAACTTTCATCTGAAAAAAATCTATGCGATAATTCATTCTAATATGTCTCCTTATCAAAGCAAGTACGAAATAATTGTAATGTATATGCTTTTAGCTGAGATGATGTCTAATGTTCCTAGTCATTAAACAAAAAAATTGAATTAATTGAAAGATTGTGAAAAATGCTTAGATATACACATCAGCCTTGTGAGCCAAACATTTCTGAAAACAGTTCTAGAAATTTCTCATTCTATACGGAAAATTCTAAAACGTAATTAAACTTTACATTTTAAATCCTCCTTATGCATCTATTTACTTGTATTTTGTCGATTATATTCTAGATTGATCATATTATCACATATAAAGTACAAGAATTATTTTCGCAATCATACGTTATGTAAAGCCATTAACATTCAAAAAACTCATTTTGTTTTATTTCTGGTCATTACACAAAATCCTGCCTTTTCAGCTGTTCTTGATACTGAAAGCAACTACTTTAACTATTATGAAAAGTTCTATATATAATAAGTTTATGACTAGGTAATGAGGTATTGCACAGGATACAGTAGATCATATTTAAAATAAAAATACTACTTCTTGAAAATAATGTAGAATTTTAAAAGATCAGAAATTTTTAATTACACCATGTTTTATAAAAAAGGCTTTTAAAAAAATAACTATTAATTACTTTATTTTAAAAGATTTATTGATTTAAAATATTTTTTTCGTCGAAGAGATTTCCTTAAAATTTTGTTTCATAACTTTAGTGAAAAACGATTATATTTCCTATGAAAATTTTAAAAAGCATTTTCAAAAACCTCTCGCTCTCTCTCTCTATATAATATATATATATATATTGCTGGAAACAAACTGGTGATAGATAAATTTTTTTACAGCAAAAAGATTTAAAATCGCTGCGCAAAAAAGATATTTCAACTTGCACCACTGTCTCATTCAGCGTGCATTCTCTTTATATCGATTGCGATAAAGTTGAGTTGTTTGACTTCTACAAGTATTGGAATCGCCGATGACTGAGCGACTTTGCTCTCATTATTTCAGATCTCCTCTGGATTAATGCGTACTTGTCACTACAGAAAGAGTAAAAGCACGCGAATCCGTAAAATGTCTTCATTCAACCTTCTCTCGGGTGCAACCCTATAATTTAATCCTTAATAAATGCGTAGTAATTTACAGCTTCCGCAAAAATAACGTAGAATATCAATGAGAGAAACTTGGAAAATGCGAATTTGTCTTTAAAAAAACCCCACAGAATACGTGACATGTTAGACAGTTACACCCAGGAAACAATGCATAACTATTACCTTCTTACCAAACGGGATAAGAAACAAATTATGACAGTGAAGGATAAGTTTCAAACAACTTTATCTAAAAAACTATAGTCGTAATTCTTTCTTGTAATTGCTGAGCAATGCGATTCAACTCAGTGTAGTTATAAGTAAAGAAAATAAAAAAAGTAGTTATAAGTAATAAATAGGTCATATGTCAAAAAGCAAATAAAAATAATCTCTGAAAACGGAGTTCCTGAATAAATCTCTCTTAAAAATAAAATTTGAAACTGAAGAAGCTTTTATGAAATATACTTCACAGAATTTAGATTTTGTAAAATAGTACTGTGGGGATCGTGTTGGATGGGGTCACAAAAGAGCCCTTTATAGTGTAAAAATAATTTGTTAAAGGTTTAAGTTACACACGGACATCACATATAATTTTAAGAATATTACAGAGCAAGAGTCTGATACAAAATAACAGGTCCATCACCTGGCCCTTTGCTAAAGTCTTTCGATAGCTACTCACCAGAGGGCACCCTCCTTGCCGGAGTAACTCTGCCATAGTTTATATTAAAGGATTAGTTACAGTATGAAATTAACAAATAATCAAGCAGATAAGAAGGGGCAATAGAGCTGTGGTTGTCCTTATTTCTAGGATAAACGATTTAAATTCGAAGCTTAGAAGAGTACTGTAATCCAAATAGAACCCTTATAGGTACTACATCATTTCTTTGCCATTACACACAAGGACTTAGATACATTTTGTTCTGAGCAAGAGGAAGGGTTCTCAGGACTGTAGGACATATCGTCAGGCTACTTAAAAGAAGGAATCTGTAAACATTTCGAATTTGCAAGTGGATATTAGAGTTCGCTTGCTTAATCGTTTATGACAAAACAGTTCGGGATTATTTGCCCAAAGAAATGGATGCATTGGTTCACAGATGATATAGTGGTTAGGGAAGTCTACCGCGGTACCGAAGGGCCAGGGTTCGAACCCCGGATCAGGCACGAATGTTTGTAAATATATGCTAGTGTCTTAGTGGCATGAGGGCACTCTAAATATATGCTGAGCCGAATGTTTTCTCTTGTCGTTTGGTGGTAGGGGAGATGGATGGGAGACCCTCGGAACCCCCAGGGAATCAAAATCAAGTTGAAAGTAGAAGTCCAACCTCCTTGAGGCTCTGGCAACCATTCTTCCATGAAATGCATGGACAAGACAACAACAACAAGGGATGCATTGGTGGAATACCTTTCAAAGAGACCTCGTCCATATTCATGTTCCATATTAAAAAATATAAACAAAAACTCATACAATGAGCCTATGTTAGAATTCCAATCCGGGGCAAATTTCCAATATTCAGGGACCTTTTGTAGAAAAATTATCTATTCGTTTGTTGATAGTAAATATTATAGAACCTGTGTTACCTATATTAGTAATTAACGTAGAATACCCATCTGCGGGCGCAGATTTGGATCTCATTTGACGCCCAAACTTTACAGCCTAATTGATTTCTAGGAAAAATATTAGTTAGCCTTCTTCAGAAGCTTAGAAGGAGGATCAGAACTGAAACTAGTAATCAGAATTTTTTCATATTACAGTAACAGAAGTTGGCTTTTCAATAGAAATACTTATATTTAACATCAGCTTAAGTAAAAGATAATATTTAGAAAAATTCAGAGTATATAGAGAATTTAGTAAATTATAATTCCAGAATGTCGAGAGTGAAAATGGGTAACAACGTCTAGATTTCTTGAAAATTTACATTTGATGAAATTTAAGAAGTATTGGAAAGTATGGATAGTTCAAACGCCGTTTATAATTAGTCTATTTATAATTTATTAAAAATTATGCGGAGTTTCAGTATTAAAATAAATGTAGTTCTGAACGAATCTTATTACTTTAAAACAAATAACTCTTCATTTTATCAACTAATAGTTTATTCTGAAGTTCGCAAACTGCAAAGCTCGTTGAGGAGTTGGTTTATTTGACTATGACAAATAACTCAAGTGCTATCTGCCTAAGAGGAAAGATGCCTTAGTGGAGGACTTTCTAAGAGAAACTGGATCAGATACGCGTTACACACGAGGAAAACGAAAACGCCTTTGCAGCCAGCCCGTTCTCCGGGACTCGAAAAACTTCCAGCGTTCGGCAACTTTACCGTTCGGCCGCTGGTAGGTCACTCATTGGCAAGAATGCTCAGCCTTTGATAATATACAGATTTTTGAAACACCCCATATTTATAAAAAATCAAAGAAAATGATTACTTCATTTAGAACCAGAAACATTTGTTAATCTTTGGCTAATCCTGAAACAACCTACGTGAATTTCATAACATGTCTAAAATGGAAAGATATTTTGCTTCTGGTGCATCGGAAATAAGAATTTTATTTTACCTTCTTCTGAGCTGATTGTACATATATCAAGCAGAGAAAAAAAAATGAATATATAAATAAATAAAACCTGCAGTCCTATAATTATAGATTACGGACTGACACACATCTTGTACAGATTAACATTAAAGTTCCAAAATGCTTTTAAAAAATTACCAATATTTTCAAATGTAAAATATAAAATTTTTAAAAATTGCATTCTAGCCTTCGTGTGGTAGCTGCAGTTTTCAATTAAACGATTTTAAACAAAACAGCCATGCTTAGCCAACTAATTTTAGAATTAATTTCCGACGAATTCAAGATACAAAACACAAAATCACATACATAAAACGAGTTGTTAAAAACTTGACTGATAAATATCAATAGCCACATCCAAAAAACGATTTTCTGTTATATTGTTTCATCATAATTCGTAATGTGAGAGTTTATGCTGTGAATGTTTATTTAATGGGAAAAAAAGATGCGTTTATTCAAGACGTTAATTGTATATTTGTTTCACTGTATTATTTGAAGCTTGCAACAAATATTTTCCGCAAGTTGTAATATTTTTTCTATTTTACTAAGCCATTAAATTCGCGAACTGAAAACAAGAAAAGAACTTTCTTTTTAAGTATTAAAGTGCAACTCTGTATTTTTATATTTTATATTTAATTAATTTGTTCCACATCATGAAACTTACTTCGATTATATGAAACTTACCTCATTTATAAATAGAATCATGTAGAAGCGCTTGTATAATCTCATATATAGAAATCTCTTAAATTATTCGAAGAAAAATATTACAAGTGTAATAATTTACATCCATCACATAATTCATTTCTGTGCGCTGCTTAACAAATGCTACATAACATTTACTTTTTTACTTTTTTCATTTCAGCCGCTTTGTATCGTGATCAAGAAAGGCCAACTCAGGAACACAACATGAAGTCACGCGACCACATGTACAACGACATCCTAGCTGAAGGTGATCTCATTCTACAGGTAAGGGAAATTAATGAAAATGTTACATTGTAATTATCTTTAAGACATCAGTTAATATTTTTGTTATGGTGGTAAGGACTTCTTTATGATTTTAATCTTAACTTAATATTTTATTTGGACTTTTCGTGTACCGATTCTTGCTGTCTTTCGCTATTAAACCCTTTATAGCGAACGGCAGTAAGAATAATATTTTAAGCTAAGTTTAAATATTTATATAGGTAAAAACATTTATATGCCGCCAAGCGGGATAGTGGTTAGTCACTGTGACTGAGCGTCGCCTGAGATAACCACTGACCTGACTTTGTTGTAAAAGTCTTACAGTGTTAATAGTCATCCTGGCAGAAGGGAATATTTCCTCCGTGTAAAAATATAAATATAAATATTACATGGGCATACAAAGCCTTTGTATAAGCATAGATATCTTAATTACAAACATTGTCTTGTACAAGTTACATGTGATAGTTACATAAAATCATAACAGTTATGTGTACATTTAAACATTATCTGAATTCATATTTACAATACTTTTACTGAGGTAATCAAAGTAAACTCGTAATTCATTTACACATTGACTGGATTTTCAATATCATTTAAAGTGCTTTACAATACCATTTTTATCAAGTACATACCAACTGGATATTAATATGCTTACATTACAATAGTTTTGCTCTTACAGTCCTGTTACTATTCTACGGGGTGAGTTATTTTTCTATTGTTGATTTTCACTTGTTGTAGTATTTTGAATTGCTATTAAAATTATTCTGCGAAGATACGATTCTCAAGGGAGGAGCAGAATATCTTAGTACCTTTGCTGAGCATAGCCTGATCACCTCCTCTATTTTAGTTTTCGTCTGCTTGTTGCCGCAGGTATTCTCCGCCCATTGCGGCCAGTATTCACAGCTTGGCATTTTTAAATGCAGTATATCGGTTTGTGGGCAGTTTGTGCTCCGTTGTATGTATTAATTGAGCATGTAACTTTCGGAAAGAACTTGCAGGTTCTCCTCCCTGTGCTTTCCCTTTCCCATCTTTTCTGCCATTCTTGTAAAAGGCTATTGAGCGTGATTATTTTTTAAAATAGGACTGCGGAACACTTACTGCGTTTTCCAGTCTACTGGAGTCATTGGCTGCAGATTTTGCAAGCACGTCCACCGCTTCGTTGTCAGTAATACCCACGTGATCTGGAACCCAGATCAGGATAGGTCTGTCATCTGGTGGAATACTTAGAAGAATGATGTAAGAAGGGCCCGCATTCGAATTCCGAAGAAGGCAGGGATGTTTGTAAATGTATAGTGTCAGTGCGGAATGGGGGCACTCTAAATATACCAACAGCCGAAAGTCCTCTCGAGATATTTGTGGTAAGGGAAGAGGGGTGGGAGACCCTCGGGCTTGTCTCCCTGAGGTGCTCTCCATCAAAATTGGGGGCGGAACTGAAAAGTCGTACTGTCACTTGTATGATGCTCAAGGCTGTTGCGAATGACAGGCACAATCATGCAGTCCTTGTCACGATGAATTTCGTAAGCTTGTCCTGATGTTACTGTCAGACAAGTGAGATAAGTCATAACACAAATATTTATATTTTGTTAGAAATATTTGTGCAAATTATTGGTTTTAAGAATTTTTAATAAAGAGGGATGAAAAAATAAATGCTGAGTCATTTAATAGTTAGTTGGTTTAGTTAATGTGATAGGAAGTATTTAATTATTCCTACTTGTCCTTTTTTACCTCTAGTGCTTTATAGAGTAAGAACCAATATAAATGTTCTGATTTAATACATGCATGCTCATTTTCTCAAATATTTTATAAATCATAATTCTTTGCAGAATGAAACATACACTCTTCCCATGTTTATCTATCTCTGATAGGTAGTACCTTTTCGTGTTGATCTTGTTAAATTAAGATAAATGTACATCAGCAGGTGTATCCCCCTGTCATTTTCAGGCTTTAGTGGTAACAGCTCTCAAAGCAAAGGATACGAGTTCGAATCTCGAGTAAGAAATACACATTTATGATTGTTGTGCTTCCATGAAGTCGGACACGTAAAATCAATCCCTGCTAAATATTCTCGTGCCATTACAGTCAGAGGAAGAGTAACACTGAAGCTTAAATATCCCGATCCAGTTTCCAACGAAAGTTCATATTGTCACTACTGACGTCCTCAGCGCTATGATCGATGATAAATTCAGTCATTTCTCCAACACGTGCTTGTTCATTATCTTGTCGATTTGAGAGCAGAGGTTACAACAAAAACAATCTCACAGTCAGAATTTAGAAATTAACCTGCACAGAAATCCGATTTTAGGAGTTCAGTTTTACTTAGGCTTTGAAATTATCGTAGTTTTGGTTAATCTAATTGTAAGATATTTTCTCTCGCCTTTCCACATGCCTTCATGGTGTAATCTGAAGTAGACTCGAAGTGTATTCGAGAGGTCCAGTTGTAGGAAAAAACCCACAGGAAAAAAGCCCACAGAAAAAATGCTCACAGAATAATGCTCACAAGTATTAATGCTCACAGGAAAAAAGCCCACACAGAAATATGTCCACATAGAGAAAAAAACCTCACATGGAAAAAATGCTCACTTAGAAATATGCTCACACGGCAAAGAGCTCACACATGGAAATAAGCCCACTGGTAAATAAAATACGTAGAAATATCCTTAGATTAATCAGTCAATAATTAATCGATTTGAACATCGTACATATACTTAATTTTTACAAGAAAAATTATTTGATCATTTGAAAAAATGATTGGACAAATGCTCACATAAACGTTTTCAGGGGCGGTATTTTGCACGTACTATAATATTTTATACCACCGCCTGTATTTTTTTTAACTCTATTTTTGCGTACTTTTGATGTGTGATTTTTCCCTAATTTTTCGAAAGATAAAAACTGAAATTTAAATTCTACTGTTTAAATAAATAAATTTTATTCGATTACGCCTCCTGCTCTTGCTATGCTCTCTAAAATGAAATAAAGAGAAACATATTCAAAACATTTTGTAAAGTTACTGATTTATATCTTTAAAATAAGTGTCTTTTACAAAGACGTCTTTAAGATACTCATGTAATTTTTTCTCATTTCTTCTGGAACAACTGTCGTGGATGAACTAATAAATACCGTTAATTTATTATTTATTTACTGGTGACATATTTTCTTTTGAATAAACTTCGTTGGAGTTTACAGTAGAAAGATGCTTGTTCAGCTAAAAGCCAACAAAGGAACACTATAATAACGGATAAAGCTTGTAAAAAGCTATAAAATATTAATTAAATTACCTTTCTACTACATATGAAAATTATTTAAACTCAAAAAATGCAAGCACAATACAAGAAAAAGAAGAAAACAACATTTTGCTTAACTTATATAACTTCTTACGTAAACTGCGTGCTCAAGCCATAAACAAAGAGCGACAAATAAAAACAACCTAAAACGAATCACAAGAGATAAAAATGCTCATTCATTAAAAAATTTCAAATACTTTAATTATGAAGAAAATAGGAATGTAATACCTGACAGATTCGTATAGTTTAGAAGCAGGCAGTTAGATAGCACAAACGACATCACCAAGATCTTTGGAGACCACAAAATGTTTTCCCTACATACATTAAATTGGGTTTTACGGACATTTGCTGTAAATTTATCTTTCAAGAAGTATTTAGATGTTTTATTAATATTATATATCTTATATTCTACAATTTCCGAACTTTTAATCTGAAATATAATATATGCTTTGCCTTCCGAAGAAAAGTTGGGAATACTTCAGAACAAAACAAGTTTTAATTACGAAATTTAGTACTCCATCATTTTCTGGTGGTATACAATTTCATTCAATATCTGAGGCTTTTTTTTTTCATGGCGGGTACTAGCTATTGTTATGATTTCGCCACTACTAAGACCACAAGGGGTAATCATTTTATTATGGAAGTACCTAATAGGCGACCACCATTACCTCCTACTGAGGAGACAGACATTTTACATCCATGCCTTCTTCGGGATTTGAAGCCGAGCTCTTCGGTGTCGCAGTCAGCTCCTGTATAAGGTACTTCTTCGGCCTTCTTAGTATGCCTTCGTGGTGTAGTGGTCTGCACGCTGGGTGCGTATTCCAGGGGTCCTTGGTTTGATTCCCAGTGAAGGCGCTGCTCATTTTTCATTTTTCCTGCTTCCAAAAAAAATCCTAATGTCTCTACAACTGTACTATCTGGGCGGCGTGTCTGGCAATATTCATCAGTTCTTATTAGTAAGATTTCCGTTTTTAATGAAACTCTAAGAAAATACTTAGATACTTCCAAGTTTCCATACTAGATGGAACTCTAGGAAGTTCTAGTGTTTGAAATGTCTTTGACAAGGATTCTTCAAGTTTTGCGACGTTATGTTAAATCACGTGGTGTCACCTTAAGTGAATATACCATTTATCGCATGCGCAAAATGGCAAACCTTGCCATGAAAGTAACGTTTTGTTTCTATTTGCTTTCTTTTCGAGGTACCAATCCTGTAGCGTTTTATGTATCAGTACATCAAGCAGAAGAAAAAGAAATTCTGTCTGTCGAGCAAAAACCAAAGCTTATCAAAGTTGCTAATAATGCAACTACAGTGCAATTATTCACTTAGATCTTTAAATTTTTCGCACAATTCGATTATAAGAAATTTCATTTATAAGGGCAAATTTTAATTCCCTTCAACTCTCTTATTTCAAGAATTCGACAGCATAATTAAAAGAGTCCGCACTTTTATTCACAAAACTATACCGTTGCCATAATATAAAAGAAATATCATAAATTCGAGTGCAGATGTGTATTTTTCTTTGTTTTTATGTAACATTCATTTCATTTAGCTATGAAAAAAAATATACCATATACTCTGAGGGAATTTTTCACATTAATAATTTTTTTTTTCTGAAATTTCCTTTCGTTGTAACCAAACTATAGTTTATATGACGTAGCATCGATCCACATTAACCTCTCATATTCGAAGTTCTACTGTAGATTATTATAGGCTACCTA